GTCCCAGAAGCCGAGGAAAAATCTCTTTGAAGGAACAGGGAGTGATCCACTTGTTAAACGCTGCTGATAACTCAAGTAAGATGGGTTCAGCAACACGGAAGTTATTGGTGCCCTCGACAGGGATCTGGCTGGTGGCGTAGTGGGGGAGAAAGCCTGCACAGAGTGGGCTCAAGAGAGAACAGGAGGACAGGACTTGCAGACAGTGAGTGTTGCCGACTTTTTAGAGAAGAACTGGAGTCATGGGGAAGAAGAAATGGGGCCAAAAAAAAAAAAAATCCTGAAGGAGAGCCTGAAGGTTGAGAGGTTTTGTTTTTTTGTTTTTGTTTTAATTCTTTTAATGGAACATGGGAGCAATTGCAGCATGTTCGTATGTTGTTGTTGTTGTTTTTTAAAGATATAATTTATTTGACAGAGAGACACAGCGAGAGAGGGAACACAAGCAGGGGGAGTGGGAGAGGGAGAAGCAGGCTTCCCTTGGAGCGGGGAGCCCGATGTGGGGCTCGATCCCAGGACCCTGGGATCATGACCTGAGCCGAAGGCAGACGCTTAACGACGGAGCCACCCAGGCGCCCCAGCATGTTCGTATGTTAATGGGACTGCTCACTGGGGAAGAAAAAAATGGATGCAGACAAGGGAGCGCGGAAGTGTTGGCTGGAACAGTGTCCCCAGGGAGGTGAGAGGGGGGTAGCAGGCACAAGTGGAGCGGTCTGTCTTAGACGGACGCCCAGACTGTTCATCTATAGAAATAGGAGAGGAGGCAGAGGATGTGGGCACAGATACAGGTGGGTGGCAAGACTGACCTTTCTAGTTTTTGCTATTCTGATGGGTAAAAAATTGGTTTACTGTTGCTGCACAGGCAAGATGATGACTGGGGTGACATCCTTCCCAACATGGACCCAGCTCTAGAGAATTTATGGGTCTCCACTCTGTGGGCATCTTTCTCTCCAAGAGCACGAGTCCGGTTTCTCCCCAGGCTTCTCAATCTCTCCATCTCCATGTCTTCATGCCTCTCTCTCCCTCTGCAATCCCTCTGCCCTCTCCCACCCACCCTGTCTTTCTATCTCTGTGTATTTATCCCTTTGTATCTTTCTCTGTCTCCCCCTCCCTTCACGTTTGTGTCGGGGCCTCTCCTCTGAGGCTGGGTGTGGGGCCAACTTTCTCATCCCAGCCAGCACTTCCAACCAGAACTTCCAGTCCTTACTTGACAAAGAACCCCATTTTGAAGCCAAGCTAGGGTGGGGCCTCTGGAAACCTCAGGCTACCTCCATCTCCAGATTTACTTTTTTAACAAGCACATTTGTGGTCCTTGGTCTGTGTCAGGCTCTCGTGTAAGCACCTTCAAATATTAACTCATTTAACCCTCCTAAATGAGACATGGAGATCCTATGCTATTGATAGTGATGTTTTACAAATGGGGACACTGAGGCACAGAGTGGCCATGTCACTTGAATTCATGTCACTTGAACAGTCTAGCTCCAGAGTCTCAGTTCTGAAGCACTAGGGACACTGCCTCTTTTTCTAGTCCTTTCTCCAGCTCTGCCCTCCGTTGGGGGAAACACCCTGATCTATGAGACAGTACACCTGGATTTGGTCTAGTGTGTGGTTTTGGCAGCTCTCTGCCCTCCATGGGCTCCAGTTGCCTGACTGATCAGGTGAGGGGGTGGAATGCACCCAACTCTCGGTGGGCCCATGACCTCACTTCAACGTGAGTCAGGCAACCTAAGTCCAGGCCAGTCATAAACCCTAACGTCAGCATTGACCTGGTACTCATCCCAAAGCAAACACCAAAGCCAGCCACCCCCTCTCCAGGTTCCAGCCCTTCCCAAGCAAGAAAGGCTTTTCTGGAATTGTGGACCCAGGCCACAAGAGGTCATAGGTACTCTGATTTCCCACACAAGCTTGTCAGTCACCTCACTTAACCCGCCTCCTCCCTCCTCCTGCATCTTCCCTCCACCCAGCCTGAACCCAACACTACTCAGGAAGAGTGAATTCATTGCCCACTCTGGGGCCAGCCATGTGAGGTGGGGGGGAATTTCATGGTGAGGAGAGACAATGCTCTTTCTGTCACCTTGAGAGGAGTTCACAGCTATAAACCAGCCCATTCCCACCAAAACCCTACCCCAACATAGACACTCAACCTCACATCTAGTCCTCATTATTACCATCAACCCCCAACACCAGCTCAGCTATATTTCAACACTTCCCTTCCAAATCCTCATTCTTGGCTCCATCTCCAACCCCAACCTAATAGGACTCCATCAACATTCTTATCCTCAGATCCTTCCCATCTAGAAATCAATCCTATCCTCAAAACCAACTCCTCACCCCATCCTCACCCTGTGTCTATTCTCCTCCCCAAGCTCACTTGCATTCCAAATGCTATCATCAGAACTATCCTAAATCTGTCTACAAACTTTTGCTCCTAATGTAGGGAGAAAATGTGAAAGACTTTGACATGGACCCAACAGATGTCTCTGATAGAAAATTAAATGGGCTATCTGATTTTATGAGGTCTCTGCTTCTATTATTGTCTTTGAGCTATTTTACATCTCCATAAATCATAGACAGCTGATAGCAATGCAAATCATTCTTGTCCATAACTGTGCAAATGAGTTTTGGCAGGTGGAAATACAATCAATTTCCCTACCCCCACTCATGTACTGTAAACCAGTTTTGTATCTATTTATAAATTCATTTCAGCATTCCTTATTGCCTCTACATGTGCAGTTCTTTGTAATATCTTACTAGCTCCATCATTTATTAATAAATCAAAATAAGATCTTTGACATATATTTATCTTTTTTTTTAAAAGATTTTATTTATTTATTTGACAGAGAGAGACACAGCAAGAGCAGGAACACAAGCAGGGGGAGTGGGAGAGGGAGAAGCAGGCTTCCCGCTGATCAGGGAGCCCGACATGGGGCTGGATCTCAGGACCCTGGGATCATGATCTGAGCCGAAGGCAGACGCTTAACGACTGAGCCACCCAGGCGCCCCGACATATATTTATCATATATCTCCTATATATATAGAGAGAGTCATGGTTAGATCCTTTTTTAAAAACTTATCTTTAAAAAAAAAAAAGCTTACCTTCTGACACTAGATTTGATCCCTATATCCAAACTTAAACTCCTCCAATATGGACTACACCAATTTTGATGTGAACTCTCACTCTGCCCATCTTAATCCCTATCCTTATTATGATAACACCACTGCTCTCTCCAAACTTCATCTGCTCCCCATCCCTGGCTTCCTTCCAAATTCTGACCCCACCTCTGCCCTCCTTAATCCTGTCCCCTCCACCCCCTAAGGATTAAGTCATGGCCCCACCCAGTCACAGTTCCAGGAGGCACCTACTCATTCCCAAAACACCACCTCTTCCTCCTTCCTCTTCCCCATCATCCTGGCCCCCAGAGCTTTCCGATTCCTGTTTCTCCCTGTCCACCTACATGCATCCCCATGGACTCCCTCACCCCAACTAGCCCTGTTCCTAAAAGACCATTTACCCAAAATATTGCTTTCCCCGGGGCCCCATCCAAGTCCAAGTACAGTTGACTTTCTATCCACCTATCTGAAGATTCCCTTCTTGCACCTGATGCCTGTGGGGGTGGGGTAGGGGAAGGGGAATGGTGGGAGTAAATTTAGGCATCCCTGTGTTTTTCAGAAGGTCTGGAGATGGAGTTGGTGTTGGAGATGGAGTTGGTGTTGGAGATGAAGCTGGGAACTGGAATTTGGATGTGTTGGGTTTGATGTTTGGATAAACTTGAGATAAGGCTGTTGATGGGATTGGGTTTGGGGACTAGGCCGACCACAAGGAGTATGGTTAAAATGAGGGAGATAGGAATAAGGTGGAATATCGCCATCTGGGAGCTGTTGGATATAAGGACACGCACAGGGGTTGGAGAGATTAGAAAGTGGGATGAAAGGGCGCCTGGGTGGCTCAGTCG